TATCGTAACACGTAATTTTGTTGTAAAACATTCTTAGAATTATCTTAAAATCTATTTTCATAACTAATTAGAAGATTTTAAACTCCAAAAATAGTTAAAATCAAGCCGACCTATAAACATATGAAAATCTTGAAAATGAACGGCCTAGATAATGTGTTGCACGATGCCATATTTCTGAGACTCAATTTTTTTTTTTTTATATTCATACTTCTCGATATCGAGATGATCAAATAGAGGGTCTTTCAACATTAAACAACCTTTCTGATTGATTTTCGAGGTGCATCTGTAATTCTACATTTTAAGGTTGCAACCTTATATAAACTTTTCCCTTTAAGAAAACCTCATCCAATGCAACTTCTAAAAAGAGGATCGTTGGGGTGGATCATCATCCACCCACCAATCCCAAGTCTGGATCGGCCAGATTGCCGATCCAGATCAATGATCCGATAAAGTACAATATATATCTTCTTATGTAAAGTACGAGTTCTCCTCAAAAATTACATGTCAAAACAATAGAGATTCCGTCTTGAGTTTGGGCCATCTCATATATTATATATAGAGATTACGAGTTCTACTCTTGCTTTACATATAGAAGATGTCATTACATAGTAATATGAAATAACTTAGGTAACATATAATAGAGTAATGATTCTATAGGACCCTCCCCCACTCATGTGTGTAGGACCCTAAAGGACCACCATTAACGTTGGCACAGATCTCTAAAAAAGTTATCACATGGGTGTGGGACTTGACTTTTCTAGAGATCCGTACCAACTTTAATGGTGATCTTTTGGGGGTCCTACACACATGGGTGGGAGAGGATCCTATAGGATCATTTCTCTATATAATATACTATGTTTTAATATAATAAAAAATAAAATGCAAAGTAAAAATAAAATGTTCATAAGATAGTTGTGTCGAGTTTCAAACCTACATCGAAATGTCACAGAAATTTCAATGTTTCAGTTTGTACATAATCTCTTTGACCCACCAAACAAAAAAAAAAGAGCTTAGGTAAAATGTATCAGTTTGTACAAAATCTCTTCGACCCAGCAAAAAAAAAAGAAAAGAGCTTACGTCCACCATAGAATGTATATTATTCCCTAAACGCTCATGTCCAATTCTAACAGACCCAGAGCCAACAATAAAAACCTATATTTTCTTTACTTCAAATAAAACAAACATAAAAAAAATTTCTAACTTAAAAGTAATATTTTAAACCCGCAAGACCACCATAATTGTACTTTGAGTTCCACCTTACTCCGAACTTCTACAAAGATGCAACGTAATATCTCTTCCAAAATTGCACCTAATATAAAAGTATACAAATATAACATGTTATTAAAATATAATATATTATAAGATCATATACTGTGGTATAATATTTTATAATATTATTAGAGGCTTCACATGGGCCTCTTTTGTCTTTTTAATATAACATAATATACAATGATGTAAATGTAAACATACTATATCATTCATATCATATAATATCACATGTAACATACCATGAAATATATATCGTATCATGTGATATATAATACATAATATAATATACATCATATCATGTAACCTACCATCATACCATAACATCAAAATCTAAAAGGTGAAAATGCCTTCTTTATGTTAAAAAAAGGGTAAATCATATAGAACATATTATTTATTTAGACCGTCAAAACAAATGTCTAGTTTTGTCGATTCTAAAAGAAGTTAGACACATTAAAATTTTAAAATAAATTGTTTATATAATGTGTATGTTCACCACAATTGTTTTGAACTCCAAGACTACCCAATACGATAGTTTGAACCTTACTTTAATACAAAGACTACTAATACATGAATGGCCCAAACCAGACGGGATCTCTATTGTTTTGACACGTACTCTCCGAGGAGAACTCGTGCTTTACACATGGAAGATTAATGACAAGTTCACATCATATACATAAAAGTATTACAATTCAAGGAATGAAAGATAAATATGCAACTGCAGTACAACAGCTAAGAAAATTAAATAATTGAAGAAAAAAACGCTTGGGAATAGAGTCTGACCTATGTAGAAGAGGGTCAAGAAGTTGCACCAGCTTCCAACAACAGAAAGAACCCACAAGCCTGCAGTCACCTGCAAAACCAAAGAGCATATTTCTCTGACATTAGTTGAGCACATAAGAAACATCAAACATAACAAAAACAAATACATAAGAAGCTAAAGGAGAATGCTTACAAGAAGAAATTTCTTCAAGTCGCGCCCAGATGCGACATCCCGTAAAGTGGCAAAAACACAGTTGAGTTCATATGTCAAAGATACGGCTATGCTCACAAACACATCTTCGGATAGGTTAATTTCTGGAAATTTTGGTGGGGACCTAAATTTGCAAACACAACCTCAGTTTATAATTGCAGGAACCAGAGAAAGAGGAAGAGGAAGAGGAAGAGGGGAAGAAGGGAGGGAGTAAGAAAATAAATGAGAGAGAGAGAGAGAGGAAGGGAGGGAGGCAATAAATGAGAGAGCGAGAGAGAGAGGGAGGAACGAAGAAGGAATGAATGCGAGTGAGAGAGAGGGAGGGAGGGAGGAAGTAGAAGAGGAGGGAGGGGGCGGGGGGCGGGGGGTGGGGCAACTATGATGTTTCAACATACAAATATAAGTACATCAGTATGCAAAATTGAAACATCAACAAGCAGAGAAAAGACAGGCAAAACACGAGAGTATAAATGGAACATAGCAGTAAGAGGCATACGTATGACTAACACTATTTCAAGGTATATTTATAAATATGAAGTGCACAATTTAGGCCTAGGAACACACCAGTTACAGTGAGTCCACCCTCCCAAAATCCATCTCGGAGTAATGTTTGGATACAAAATTTGCAGGTCTATCATCTAGACCACTCACGATCATGAATCCGAAGATAATGATTTGAATGTATTGTTTTACTTTTTTTTGTACCATCCATTTTAATTCTTAGGAGATCATCAATCTGCACAGTTTTTGGAGCTCAAATTTCAAGGATCAAAGGTGGAAATGGATTTACAGTAATTTGAAATCATTCGAAAACCAACACAGGCCATCTCAACAAATACATTCCCAAATATAAAATGCAAAATATCAACATGTGATAAATACAAAGGATAAATTGCACCGCAATGATGAGAGACGTTAGTACTGTGACTTACTTGTTGATAAGTGCAGATGCATTCGACCAGAGGAACAAGAGAGACAATGAGAGTACAAGTGAATGGCAGATGAGAGTAAGCAGGTGGTAGCCAAGCCATTCAAAAAGAAGCCAAATAACAGTCACACCTACGAGGACACCAGCAGATATTTGCTTGTTCCTCCACAGTAACACATCAGCAGCTGAGATCCAGTCAATTCCCCAAAATTAGATTAAAGGACAAGAGCAGCATACAGTGACGTTGAAGTTAGAAAATCAAGCCAGAAAAGCAAAACCCATGCATCAACTTCCAATACAGCAGGAGAAAGTCAAGTCACAATAGATCAATCTCGGTTACCATGGAAAATCAAATGTGCGAGCCACTATTCTCCATTGTTACTTCAAAAGAGACAGAAGAAAAACGGCCAGAAATGGAATCAAGAAACATTATTTAAGAAATAATGATTCCCCTAATTGCCATACTGTGATCTTTGATAACCCCTAGACCAGACTACACTATATATTTTTTATTTTTTGGGACGTGTCAACAGGCGAAGTAAGTAGGAAGGTCCCACAAAGATCAAACAAATGCAACGACTATACTTTTCTAAGTGGCAATAGGTCGTTCTTATTTAACATTGCCATCAAATCACCAAAAAATCTCCATCAGCCTTTAGACATATTCTTAAGCAAAGACTATATTGATGTATGCTCTACATGTATTTGTACCCACTACACCTTAATGAATACCTGTAGATAACTACATCATGTTACTAACGAGGGCTCAATCTCAGTAACCAACTTATATACTGATATATATCATAGCTACTGGTATAGAACAGAAGCATTAGTTACTAATACATAGCAGTAGCAGGAGCTATGTGCTGGTGGCCGCTGATACTTGGTAGTAGCTGCAGCTGTGTACCAATAGCTAATGGTATACAACAGTTAACAGCAGCTATGGTATATACACCAGTATCTTATTCGGCATACAACAGTATAAAATTCAGTACCTTTATTGGTTGGATTAAGCTGCTGGAAAATAGCAATAGCAACTAAGGAACTATAGCAGATAAATACTATATGAACTAGTAACTACAGACACTATTATATAGCAATAGCAATGGGCACAAAACTAATTTAATATACAGAAGTTGTATGTTTTAACCCTTGGACTCAGGCTGGGACTTGTTAGAGTCCCTAGCCTGAGTCAGGCTGGTCATCTTGGACGAGACTGAAAGAGGGCCAGACAAGTCTTAAAAAGTTTAACTAGGAAACTTTCAGAAACAGTAAGATGGGACATGCTCCCAACGTCTTTAACGAGGAGCCGAGTACCTTCTGGCACTGAATGACTCACAAGAGTCCCATTAAACTCACTCAGTTTCAAATGCTGATACAAGTAGCTAGTAGCATACAACATTAGCTGTTGTATATATACCAGTATCTTAAGGGCTTGATTTCATTGAAAACAGATTTGCAATTATCAAGAAATTTTGGCCAGAGGTTCCGGCCTTTTTCCAACAAAATCTCAATGGATAGTCAAAGGGAGAAAACTAAAAACAAATGCCCTTCCAGGAAGAAGCAGCTTCATATTGTATGTAAAATGTTTAGTCAACTAATACTATATACAAAATGTGGTCACCACATGTCAAACATCACGCAAAACAAGAAGCAACCAACTTCTCAATGTTGTCTTTTGTATTACATAAGTATCGGAGTAAAGGCCACTTGTCAGTTTTGAAAGTCGCCTGTGGTACTCACAAAAAAGGAGTATATTTTCATAGTGTTTGTTGGGAAAGTTGTATCCTGGTGTGTGCACATCGAGACCATATATTTTATCTTTCCGAGGTGGTGGACGTAGCCCATTTGATACACACCTCATAAAGCGTGACCCTATGTACATGTTCTTGAGTGGAATCCCTATACTTCAGGGTCTATATTCTGCAAGTAAAAGGTTCTTGAGATCCCTACAATTGACATTGGTAAATTTATGTGGTTTGTCTCATACATGACTACATCCACGAGCAAAAACGATCAATGATTCTAATTATGCAACAGATAAGAAAGAATACAACAAGGCTCTTACATAAGCTAATAAGTCAATACACACAATCTCAATCTCTCACAAAGTTCCGCACTGTTATATGGTAATATATTCGCCTTTAGGAAGACTGTATCTCTCCCTCTCCCTCCGCCCCCCCCCCCCCCACCCGGCGTGAGCCCAAAGTTTCTCTACGCCCATCACCTCACTCCATCATCATCTCATCATCATCATCCAAGCCTAATCACCTCTCAATATAACAACCTAATATAAAGGTCCTAGCCTGAACCCCAAACTACCTTGAGTAGCTTGATACTCAAGCATGCGGTTGCATGGAATCAAAGACAACCCCCGATAAATATCCACCTTGGCTTAAACTCACAAGAGACCAGCAATTACTACGAAATTGGTAGAGAATTTGAAATGAAAGATGGAGGTTCGGCAAAGAAATTTGGGTTATGGAGCACCTATAAATAGAAAGTATCGCAAATTGTGGTTATCTTATTACATTGAGAAGGCAATCACTAGAGATGGAGAATTCAAAAACTATGGGTACTCCTCTTACAACACATTCTAGATTATCGACGGCATTATCCCAGAATATAAATGTCGATAAGAAATACCTTGTGTTCCTTATGGGAGTGTGATCCTAATGTATATGACTCTTTGCACTTGACTAGATATTCACAAGTTGTTAGTGTATTTAGCAACTATATGGTTAACCCAAAAAGGAGTTTGACAATAGCAACAAGTCCCGTCACTAGGTTGTTAGTATTGTGGATTCTGCAAGTAATTTGGACTGCAAAAGGCCTGCAACATTTATGCGCTTACACTTGTTGGAACTCCGATAAATTGATGGCCAATGCTATAAGCTTATAGTCCATTGTTGCTTTGCCTACAACTCAAGCATACTAAATGAATGCTACAAAAGCAATGAAAGAAGTCGTTTGGCTTAAATGACTTATATTTGATTTGGACTTACAACAAAAATAAAGAACTCGGACAAAGCATATTAATGTTATGTACCATTTTATCTGTGAGAATATAGCCTCGGGTGATATCAGGTTGCCGAAGACTGTCGCAGATATGCTGACAAGGTCAATTCCATTACAAAAGTTCAAACGGTGCATGGACTAATATGATATGCTAACGTGGCCAGTGCATGTGGAAAACAAAATGAATGGAATACCTTTTAAAAATCCAGCGAAGGTGGAGAATTGTTGAGGGTCAACTTGGATTCCAAGCAACCTCACGTTAGGTAGCTTTGATGCCAAAGTGGAGATTTTTTAGGGGTCCTCTTGGATTCTAGACAACCTCATGTTATAGGCATCACGCCAAGAACCTTTTACATACTGGTTGTTAGGAAAGAGAGATGATGTGTGCATAAAAACCTTAAGACGTGAGAATAATTTTAAGGCGTGTGAAAGAGGGAGAGACTTAATAAAGGTCAATAGAAATGCATATGAAATTAAGAGGCATTGTAACAGATTGAGATTGGTTATGCTCTCTTTCTTGTTTGGGTAAGAGTTATCTTTCTTGTTTTCTCTTCCGTTGCCTAATGAAACCATTGATCATCTTCACCTGTGGATGTAGTCACATCTAAGACAAACCACATAAATTCTCTATACTATTTGCTTGTTTTGCACTTTTGGTTGTCCTTGTTGCTTGCTTGTGGTTGCCATTTTCTCCACACTATCGGGCCATAATCTTAACTTGTATGTGCCCATGCGCACCGACAACGCTCACACGACTCCAAACACATAACTTGGCCATGGGGCAGGCGAAAGTGCAGTACCAGACCTACCGGTGCCACCGCAGTGCAAGCCTAGCACCGCAGGTCCCCACGAGCCAAGACACATCACCTAGTGCGCTGCAATGCTGGCGAAGGCCCATCACTGCACCATCGTGACAGCAACGCATCACGAATAGGCTCCCATAAGCCGACATGAGGGACCCTTGCACCAAGAGGCGCCATGGGGTCAGGTGATGCGGCCCTTCCCCAAGTATGTTTGTAGCTGTGAAAAAATGGAGGTGCATGAGAAGCACCTAAATGGGGCAAGTAGTTCATGCCCAAATGCACCAATTTCATGACAATTAGCCCACCCACGTGCCACAACCACTTTTTTACAGTTACAAACATACTTGGAGAAAGGATGCACCATCAGCCCCAAGGCTAATCTAGTGTCAACGGGTGTGATGATGCACTTTTGCCTACACCGCGGCTCACAAGGTGATGTGTCAGCTCGTACAAGCACCGCCGATGCACATGAGCATGAACGTGCAAGACAGTGGCCTGGTGGTGGGCTGATTCTAATGTGACATGCGTATTTCGTGGACATGCGCTACTTTGCCTAATCTATGTGCCTCCCATGCCCATCAAGTTTTTCCTACCTACAAACATACTTACGAAGGGGTGCAACACTCGACCCCAGGGGCCCTCTTAGTCCATGGGCAATCCCCAATATGGCTGAAGGAGCCTATTTGTGGTACCCATCACCAACGGCATATGGGGGCCAACCGCACAAGCATCAAGACTGCAACCTCATAAGACTTGGCATATAATAAAGTGGCTTCTCATTTTTTTAATCACCAAGAGGACTATCAACATGGTTGTACTATACCAAACGCATTATTGATAACCATTGTTATTCAAAAACATAAAAGCACTATAGATTTCAAAAAATAAAAACAAATCACCGTTAGGAGGAGCATTTATACATTTAAGTCCCACAATATGGACTTTGATAAGCCATTAATACTAAATCTATGGAGCCTAAGATACAACTGAAGCAATAGTGTTTAGATTAACCAATTTAGCCCCAACAATATAAAACTTTCAATAGTACAACGTGTGCCAACTGTTTAAACATACCATATACACATGTGCAAACTCCATATCGATGTTAACATGCTTTAGACATGTCAGACATTGTTTAGTTCCATGTCAACATATGTCGAAGTGTCGATATGTGTCGACGTGCCACATGAGCAAAAAATAGAATATCCATGTACCACTAATAATAGCTACTACTATGCACTAGTAGCTATTTACCAGTGGCTATGACACACATATCACTCCCAATAGCTAGTATGGTATACAAATATCTTATATGCTACTTAAGGTACAAAAAAGTATCAACTAGGATATATACCAACAGTGATCGAAATGTACCTATTTTTAGTGCTGCAAAGCATTAGCTATTCGTATATAGCTCCTATGACACAAAGTAAGCCTTACATGACAACAGTTATATATATTGAGCCTTATTAGAAACATAACAAATAATCCCAAAGGTGCATGTTGAGTATTGATGGCTGATTTAAATTGCAAAAACATCAAATGGACAAATATGTGATCCTAGCAAAGACAACTCATTTAAATTGCAAAAACATCAAATGGACAAATATGTGATCCTAGCAAAGACAACTCATTTAAATTGCAAAAACATCAAATGGACAAATATGTGATCCTAGCAAAGACAAGTCATACTCTCTCTCTCTCTCTCTCTCTCTCNTCTCTCTCTCTACTCACTACTCTACTATACTACTACTACTACGTACTACGTACGTACTACTACTACTACTAACTACGTACTACTACT